TCGGGCTGGCGTTCGGATCCCACCGAGAGCTGCGCCCACCTGGGTTTGACCTGTGAGCGAAAGCTCATTCACGGCCGACGGAAACGAGCGGGCACGTCTGGGACACGACTCTTCATATACTAAAGCAGGTGCTTCAAAGAAACCCACGGACTAGAAATGCCGTTTTCTTCCCAGGGACTACTGAGAAGCTCGAGAGAACTCGCCCCCAGTTTGGTGCCTATAACGTGGGTATCGGGAGGTAACTGGAAAGAGCACTGGTTCATTGTGACCAAGTTTAAGCTGTAGCTTTTACCAGGAATAGAAAAGAAATAAGCCAAAGCAAGCGTGGAGCATAAGGAAAAGCTTTTCGCTTTTCCACATTTAGCCTCTGGCTTTCCTTCCTGCTCTTTAAGTCCCTCCTTAAAACTGACCTAAATCTTTTCAACCATTTTTTAGGCTCAGGGCGTTTCATTTTGGGGGGGATCACAGGAGCATTATCACCATCCAGCTGTGAGATTGCGGATGACTGACCTGGCCCGCGCTGTCGGCAGAACCTGCCCAACGCTCTGCCTTGCTGGTAACGGCTGCAGCTGAGACGGGGAGAGAAATATTCCCAAGACTCCTTGTCAGGACAAGGATTTAAACACCCAACGAGTCACCACTATTGAAAGTGCGTTCCCTTATTTCCCCAAAGACCAAACCCTCGGTGAAAAGGACCAATCAAACACGTCCCGAAAGCACGGTCCAAGCGTAAGGGTGTGTTATAAAACAGTTTTGGATTTTTTATATTATTTTAAAGAAAGACATAACAAACCCAACAGATTCCTTTCTGCATTTTTAACAGATTTCTGCTGAGCACGAGCCACCTCATGATAAACATCACAGCAAAGAGAACTTTACCTTCACTGCGACGTAGCATAAAAACGACGTCACCTGGTAAAGCTCTTCTGGGTGGGGACAAAGTTTTTTCCTCAGCAGCGTATTATCCCAAATCACAGGATGTATTTCTGGTGCAATTTTACCACTTTAACTCTGTCATTTCCTCCTTGCAGTCACTTTCTCTGGGGGGGAAACACGCAGAAAGGGAGCGCTGCAATCAAAAAAGGGGTGTCCTCGGCCCCTCGATGATTAAAGCTCACCTTTTCCCAGCACGGCCACAGGAGCACGGACATTTGCGTGAAGCAAATGGATCTGCCAACCTCTTGGGCTGAAGCTTAATCCTGGATATTTTTGCTTTTCTGTCCTTTAGCCAGCAATGGCAAATGCTCAGGAACTGGGTCACTGCTTGGGGAAGGCAGAGCCCAAACCCCCACCTCACCCCGAGACCAAGTGCGACGGGTCGCGGCGCTAACGGGCACATTTTATCCCAGCTGAAAATAAATCCTGTTCCTAAAATTGGAGTCTTCGGGCGATTTGGGACACGCACTGCCAGCCTGAAAAATTCGCTTTAAGAAATGCTACGGTACTGACCGTCTTGAGCAACGGCGCACGTCAACCTAATCTCAAGGTTTTCCAGTTAAATCTAACGTCTCTGGGAGGACGCAGGGAGGAGCTGCCACCCCCTTTCCTTGCGAGGGGCTCCAGCAGACATGGGGCACCCTGGCAAACGTTAGCTAAGAAAACATGTTCTGAGCTGACGGGGTGCCTAAATATCAATATCTTTCACAACTGCTTTGTGGCGAGGGGAAAAACGAAATTCATCTTTTTGGCCGCACAATAATGAAACTCGGATTTCTACAGGGCTCTAGGGGAGAGGGGTCATCCGTTAAAGCAAAACCTGCTGACAGCAGGACTAAACCACCCCCCGAATCTCCAAGCAGGCTTTAGCTCCCCTGGCACACCTGAGCGAAACGCCAAAGCGCTTTTAAATCTCCTATTTGGGCAGAGTAGGCACTGACCACTCCAGATGTTTAGAGATGCTGTAAGTTGAAGGAACGGGATTAGCAGCCAGCAAAGCTTCAGCGAGGAAAAAATACTCTTGCACAAAATTAAGCCAGCCTTAGCTAGTCAAGAATGCCACTTTTTAAACTAAAAGGTTTAAAGATTACGAGAGGATTTGTCCCCATCTGTCACTTTTGGCCCGCTTTCGTTTTATAAAGCTTCCTTAGTCAAACTTCACTAAATCAATCTTGTCACCATCGGACTATTCTTAGCTGACCCCGCTGGATTTGCGAGCTCTGGCACACTGCTCTCCTGAAGGGCAAGTTTACAAGAAGAGGCATCGGGACGTCGAGCCCAGGGAAGCTGAGGCCGCAAAGGCCAAATTACCACACAAAATCGTACGTCGTAGGGCAGCTCTTTCATTCTGGTGAACAGATGCAGCTGAATTCTGCCGGCTTTGAGAGGCATCCCTGGGAAAATGGAGCTTCCAAGAGGGACGAGAAAGGTTTCTTGGATGGGAAAGGTCTCCTCTCCCTGGGGAAGTGCTCCCCTACACGCAGCTCCCTGCAACACTCGGCTGCTGAGCCCCTCTTGACGTCCCTTCAACATTTCTCTCACCAGCTTCACCGGCTGACACGGAGCAGAACTCCAACTGCTCACGATTACAGAAGTTAAAGCCTTGGCGACGCTCTCCGGGAAGGGTTTTGTTGCCACCTCACGCAGTCCCTCTGCCAGAAAAACCCATGTTTCCCCCTTCCATCACCATCGCTTTTATTTTCACTGTTTCACTTTTTAAAGATGATTTCTCCTCCTTCCGTATGTGCCCCCAGCAGCTTGACCTTCCCATCACTATGACTTTTTGTAGGGGAAAACACCAATAAAATAACGCAA